GTTTTCACGTCATGATATCCGCACTGTCCGTGCAATGTGACGTGATGGATCAGTCTATCAAAGAAATCAGTAGCCCAACAACCTATACGACACGGCTTTGACCGACGTCTAGTCTCTTGGCACCTATGCAAACAGCTCGGCACGGGGCTGAACAACAAAGAGGCGCACCGGCATGGGGATTTCTTTTTGTGGCTTTATAATATCCCGTCTTTAATCTGAGATCTAAATAGAAGGCGCGGACGAGAAATCATTAACACCTACCTCCCCCCTGCTACGCCATCATGACTTCTCGACGAAGTGTTAACATGGGATATTGTTTAACGGCCCACTAACAATAGAATTACACCAACAACAAAATGTTGAAGGTACGTTTTTCTGAACTGTTACTTTTTACAAAAGCCGTATTCATTTGATCGTTTTTACCAGCTGACGCGTAAAATAAAAATAAAAAAATTGCAAAACAAATGTTTTACAGTATTTTAATGTTTACAATGTAATAATTAATTGACATCATTAAACGTTTCCAACTTAAACCGACTTCACAACCATACAAACACAAGACTGAAGGTCATTTATTTTGACGATATGCCATGGCCAATTGATTATGCTATATTAATGCATCAATGAATTCAAATACATTCAATTTATAAAGTAAAATATAAAAATATAAATGGATAGACACATTTGCATTCCATTTCAGTCAAAAGCAGTGAACCATTTTTTTTTTCTTATTTTTTTGGCCAACATTCGCAGCCAGCACCACACATACCGTCCAGTTTGGTATCGGGACGTAAAGTAACAAAGGAAAAGTGCGGTGCTATTGTGTAGGCGCGTGGTATAGTATGGCACCTTGTGCTAGCAAGGCCGGGTAAGTGACACCAAATTAGTGATATTTCATATTCTACCGGCAGCATGTATCAACGGAGATCAAAAGAAGGCGGTGCACTTGACAGAGTTCAAAGGAAACCGCGCTACCGTCTGTCTTTGCACATTGTCACCTATCATATTACATTATACAGGGCAGCAGCCAATCGGATCGGAGTATCTGAAAGGTATCACCCTGCCTATTCATAACGCATTCCAAAGCTACTAGGTTGCCCTATCACAACCGCATTGTGTTTGCATATTACCACGCACCGTGGCTTTACTCGAGATTTCGTGAAACTCCGTTTTAAACGTCCCACAAACTTGAACAGATGTTTTCGAACTATCTCGCGTTTTAATAACGCCTGTCAAAGTGGATTGCTTGGTCAGTTTTATGCACAGTCGATCGCAACATAGTACGGTCGGCGCGGGGATACAAGTGACGTTAACGCACCAGCTGATTGCACTCACATCCACGGTGAATTTTCGACCAACTCAAGGTCAAGCTGTCTCACCAATCGCCCGCCGATATTTTTATCAGCACGAAAAAATGTGCACACGCCGCCTTTAAACCATCTTTCAAATTATGTATACCAATACGGCGAACGCGTTGTTTTGTTTTGTATTTTACAGAATTTTACGTATGTTGAGTATCGTGTAGGATTTGTATAGTTATAACAGGCGTACGTAAAGAGCAACGTTTGTCGGCTGCCGTTCTTTATTTTGGTCAATTTCTTTTTAATTGATTTTACATTTCTTTAACTTCCAAGTCATTACTATATTCCATTAACCTTGTTTTAAGCACATACACAATATTTTCCCTATTTGTTAAACTAGTTTGTTATTTTGTTGCAATATTTTTGTCTGAATAAAGCAGTTTGCGTCCTACTAAATATTGCCAGGAATTTCGCGTCACTAAGTAATAAAATAAAATAAATTACAAAAGAAAAAAAACGGATTCGGCGAAAAAAAAAGAGAAAGCACTGTGAGGCCGAAAGAAGGAAGTTTCCTTTTGTTAGCGATCGGAGTGCTCGTAAAAATAGTGGAGAGTAGAATATATCTGGCGGATAGAGGCACATAAAAACCGTCATAGTCACCCAGTAATACTTAGGGAAATAGACATTTGTGTGTGTCGGCAACATCACAGGATAAAATTCAATGGCAAGCCAGTCGACTCATGAATATGTCACTGGCACTGAAAGATCGCCGCTTGACCTGTCCACCGGCAGACTTGATCGTCAGTCCACACACACGTCACCGATGGTGTAGATTTGACCCAAACTGTATATCTGTGTATGCGACATGAACACTGCTAGCAGTCACATACTCCCATTCAGCCATGCATGTGAAGCGGAAAATTTAGCTTTCGGAAAACATGCGAAACAGTGCGGGCTTGCTTTTATGACCGCGGTGTAATTTATACGACTCAGGCGTAAAACTGGCGATGGCTCACTGTAAACAAAAGTTTTGCGCTTGCATTTAGGCAATCAAAGCGCAAGAAAATATATCCATAAAACGGCAATCGGTGATATAAAATGAATCTTCAGACAGAAACTGGTTGAACGCAACCACACGAAGCCAATACTACGAGGAAAATGCGAGCGCACATTGTAAGACTTCGAATTCTCCCAACCTCTGAATGGTGTTGATTATGTGGACCATTGAACTTTTGAACTCCAATAGGGGTCACAGCATTTCCTGTGCATCATGCCCGTCAGATAGAAACGTAGCTATAAGCTGTATTATAAAGTTAGACACGTACAGATTTTAAAAAATATAGCAAATAAATATAGGTATTCGTTATTAAATATTATATTTTTAGTTGAAAATTATTTGCCGTACTTAAAAATAGTATACGGTTTATAGAATGTACGCCTTTGTCGAAATAATGCGTTATTGAAAACGGCTGCTTCAATTTATTTTTTTTAAATGCAGGAATGCTTAAAAATAAATGAAAATGTTGTTTTGAATGTTAAAATACATGAGCTATAAAACACTGTAGACTTGATATAACGACAACTGCGGAAAAGCCTATCCGGCCAAGGCTTCCCACCCCCAAACCATGCATTAGCGGCGTCCTAGTGTGTCACAGTATGAGCACTCTGTGTTACATTATCTGGCACTCTGATTGGTGCGGCTTGTTTTCAATGTTTACGTCACGATCCTCTGGGAGTTGTTTCGGGTGGCGGGCATGTGCTTTGATGTTATAGTTTGCAACATACAAACTTCCTCACATTTTCAAATTTGTGTCGGTTTCAGCTGAAAGTGGAAAGACGACTACGGGAATTCTCTGCCATATAGACGATTCTCTGGATTCTGTTATCAACCAGGGATACACATTGTAGCAACATGAACGATTCTATAGGTTAGTTTTGCCGGAGAGGTCATTCTATTCTGAAAACCCGAGGTAATTATGTATCTGCTCTCTTGGTTATATGAATACAATTCGGTTGCGCCGATTGACCGACGACAACTCTAGGTCGTTCGTTATTTATCAAAACCCATCTTTCTTTGCCCCTATTCTCGATGACCAGGACTACAGTGAGATCATGTTCAAGGTAATATTTGGAAATCGAAACGGCATTCTAGAGACTGGCTGAGACTTTTAGTTTTAACCGCTGTTTTTCCCCATTTACTACTGGTTGACTAGCTCTTCGATTAGCGCTATATTCAATGACACATGTAGTTTTCTACTCGGCCTATGTTGTGTTCCGATTTCGGTGGTTTGTGTACAAAAGCGTGAATTATTTGTACCATCGTTGACGGTCTTTCCCTTAGCTCGACAGATTTTAATCAGTATCTAGCATAGTAAAAGCCAGCAAAGGCGGTATTTTTATGATTGGGTCGTAAAAATCAGGTATTAGCTGTGTGTTTTTTCACACCCGACTGTGAGTTTCGGAGCTCGATAGAAGTCAACTAATAACCGAATTGCGAGTTTGCCCTCGCGTCTCGCCTTTCTGGTTTTTTTTCGGAGATTCTTTGATCAACCAAGTCATCCGTGTACTGCCTGTACTCAGCCTGTTTATGACAGGGATACATATACGCATTTCTGTGTCGTCAGCTGAGTAAGAGAGTTATTTTATGTTGATCGCAGCACAACATAAGCTGTGTGGGGCCTCACATGCAACTTGGCATCGTGTTGAGTGAACTGACCAGACGGTATATATTTACTTCCGATCTCCGTGTTTATAGGTAGGGTTCATATCTGCTTTGTGTCGCCACATTCGTTGTGACATTGGCTCTTGTATTCGTGTACAATTGTGCCGCTTTTCAGATCTGTTATGAGACCAAGCAAATCGAATTTCGTATACTGTGTGTGAGAATGAGTGTACGGTATCCAAACTTTCATCAGTTCCTGGTCGATAAATTTCTATGTAGGCTGCGTGGTATTAGAAACTCGACAGATAGACAAGGGATAACTGAATGTTCCCTCGTCACATTCTCGTTCGTTTATCCGCGTTATATGAGGGTGTTTTAATAGTGCCTTTTCGATCTGACATGGGGCTAAGGGTTCAACTCTATGCTGGAAAAATTTACATAAAATGGCGGACGCAGGGATTTCCATTTTCACAAGATCATGCCTGAGAACCGTTTTACGTATATACAGTGTGCCCACGTTTTTTCCCAGATTTGCCCAAGTATGACGATATATAAAAGGATACATATCTGCTCAGTATCGTATGGATGTTTTATTGATGAATTTATATCCGTTTCAACAGCAGCCTGCGTCATGTTTATGTATTAAACGTGAGACTGTTCAATCACTGACATTTGTATTGCTTTGTGATGGCAATTTTCACAACATCAACTGATGTCTGATTTTCCTCTCTCTCTTTTTTTTTTACACATATTTTTAGGTGGATGGATATCAGAATCAACACATCAGTGACATTGCAGGTGAAAATATCTCGGCTCTAAGGATACCATCTATACATTGATATACAACATACCTCAATTCTCAGGGAAACTTCAACTTTGTAATAGCATGAGTGTGGAAGTTCCACAGATTCCTGTGGATCCTGGGGAACACTACGCTGGGGATGTGCCAACTGAACAACGTCCTCCTGTACCAGGGGAGGAAAACATTGAGACGATATCCAATGATGGTTGCAGCAGCCATAGTCACTATAGTAACAAAACAGTTATTACAAAAACTGAATTGACTCATTCGCCAGCAGCAACGCCGAGGCGATCGAATATTGATCAAGGGAAATATGCGTCATTATTACAGTACCATGTCCAGAGAGGGGTCAAAGGTACCGAAGACATTGAAGCACCCCTTGGATTTGAACCTGAGGGCAGTGCAAGTGTCACACCACCGTATACACGATGGGCAGAGAGTTTTCGTGCACTTCTGGACGATAGTGAAGGAATTAATCTTTTTAGGGAATTTTTACAGCAGGAAAATGACGAAGACAGTTTACTGTTTTGGTTTGCATGCCAGGGTTTCAGGAATAAGCTTGCATCGGACCCAACCAGGGCTGGTACAGGAAAAGTTATTTATAAGAATTTTATAAAGTTGAATGGACCACAGACAGTAAAATTGTCGGAGCAAACAAGGAATTACATTGCTCAAGATCTAAATAAAACTCCCATTACTCCAGGATTATTTGACCAAGCACAATCGGAAATAGAGGACCTAATGCGAGAGACTACATATCCGATGTTCCTAAAGTCAGAAATCTATGTGCAATATGTTCAGAACGGTGGACTCTTAAGTCCCAAGTGCGAAAGTAGCTCCAGCTCATCGAATGCGCGTTACCCCACTGGCTACTTGCCTACAGTACATGAGGATGCTGAACTTTGTTGTGATGTGAAATCTTCTACCTCAGATTCGGAAAAACAGGTTCCATTAACGAGTGAAATGTTAGCAGCGACGAGATACGCCAGAATGGGAATAGCCGAACACCACCGAGAAGGGTAAGTTGTCCAGAATGAATGAAATACACAATTTTTATCATTTATTCTCAATTGTAAAATATATACTCGTGTTTGAAAAGTTGGGGCTACTTTGAAGAAATAGTAGTATAGACCCTTAATCAAACATGTGCGTATATTAAGGTTTATTTATATTAGACATGTTAAGAAATGCACGTGTAATGGAAGTAACACTTGAACTGGAGCTGATACGATGATGAGGTCAACTTTTTTTTTTTTATCCCAAGTATGCTAAGCCATGGTGAATCTACATCAACTTACTTTGTAACAAGATATTTTAACTCTGGGCAGTTTAATTTGGTACAGCGTCCACTGGGACTGCCATAGAAGTTGCAATTCGAAGGGCCTAATGTGATAGAGACAGGTACATTAGGGAGAATGCAAACCATCTAATAGTTGGATGCTCAAGTTTCTGAAGACTTTAACAAACAAAAAAATACCAGTGGTTTATCCTGTCCTTGTTTTTGAGGGAAGGAAAAGGGATTGAGTCAGGGCTAAAAAAAAAAAAAAAAATTGTTAGGTGAAGGTAGCTATAATTATTGGGTTGTGACTAGGAAATGTAAACCTGTCACCAAAGAAGGTCATACTAATACTTTATTGACTATCAGTGACCTTTGACCCCAATCTGCTATCACAAAATAGCAGTATCCCTTAATAGGTTTTCTACCTGGCTTCGCAGGATATAACTTATTCATTTATGATGTATAATAAATGCTAGTATATTATCAAAATCATTCTGGGAAAAAAAAAATAGGGTGGGTTTCTTTTTCTGTAGCAGATAACGTTAGATATCCTGGCAATTTAGTGGTTGCCTTGGCAACTGGACCTCTTAAATGAGCAGAGTACATTTTATTTAGTGTGTGCAAGAGTTGTCTTCTTATGTTGATAGGCCAGACACTTTGTAATGCGTTTCACTTGTAGTGTAGTGTCAAGTTTAGTAATGGTCGGAGGTTGCACTTGTGAAAATTGACTGTGGCAGTGTGCGAGTGATTTGAGATTCTTATTCTGATAAAAGGCAATATCATTATGCTTTTTTATAATGTAAAATTTTTTATTTTTTTGTTTGTCTAGCTTGAGATTTTCTCAGTTTTGCACCCTCCATACATGTGTATGTTGTACATTCAAATTAATGTGTACCATGTGATATCTATGTTGCTGTGTGCTTCTCC